ACACTTGGATTGTTTCCACCTCTTGACTGTTCTGAATAAAGTTGCTGTAAATATTAGTGTACAAGTATCTGCTTGAATCCTTGCCTTCGGTTCTTTGGGAAATATAGAAGTGGAGCCAGAAATAGGAGTGGAATTTCTGGGTCATGTAGTAACTCAGACATGTTCAGGTCTATCATGGAAAGGGTACCGGATTGCCCACCCACCTTCCATAACTATGCAAAATAGTCATGGCCAGATGTTTAGACTGGATGTCTTTAGGTTGGTATCCACCTCCTGAACCAAGGAGCTGTTTGTAGACATCATGTAATACAAAGTAGAGGAGGGGCAGATTCTTTTAGAAATGAGTGGGGCAGGGACAAACAGTGACTGACACCTAAATATGAGATCAGAAGTAGCCATAGAGGGCTGGGGATTTAGCTCAGCGGCATAAGCACCTGCCTTGCAAGCAGGTGGTCATGAGATCAATCCCTGGTACCGATAAAAAAAAAAAGAAGTAGCCATAAATAAATTGATACGTACTATGGATATAGTTTCATTAACATTTGCTGGATGAATAATAAATTAAGTTTTTATTACCATTCCATAATTGATTGTCTCAACAGACAATTTATTTCAAGTTATCCAATGTTTAATAATTCGGATTTCTCCTGTTAGGTTCATAAAAGATGATTTCTTCTGAAACTCTTAAAAAAGTCTAACACTTAAGGATGCGGGCTCTAGAAACAGGTTGACTGGGTTATTTTTATTTTATTTTATTTGTTTTTGTTTCCTCTCTTTTCTTTCTCTTTTTTCCTATACCTTGGGCCTTGGAGATGCCAGGTAAGTGCTATATTGCCTGGGTTTCAATTTCATATCAAATTCTGGCTGCCAAGGACCCCCTGCAACTTATTGGTCCAACTATGAGACTTTCTTTCTTTCTTCCTGTCTTTCTTTCTTCCTTTCTGTCTTTCTTTCTTTCTTTCTTTCTTTCTTTCTTTCTTTCTTTCTTTCTTTCTTTCTTTCTGTCTTCCTTTCTGTCTTTCTTTCTTTCTTTCTTTCTTTCTTTCTTTCTTTCTTTCTTTGTACCTAGGATCAAACTCAGGACCTGGCACTTGCCAGGCAAACTCTTACGCTGTTGAGCTAAATCCCTGGCCCTGTTTGTTTATCTTTAAAATGGCATAAAAATCATACCTGCTCAATGAGGCTGTCACATCCACTGGAACAATGACACATATTCCTGGGCTCTTGGTATACTGAAATCCAGATTTTCAAGATATTATCATTTTGGTTTTGGATCTGGTGTGCGATTATACTGTGTGATTGGTATGAAATTGTTACCAATCCTTGGATTGGTGTTTTAACAAATATTTTTATTTTTATTTGCACATTTGTAGTACACAACGATTACATGTATCTTGGAGAGTTGGTATGCGGACACAACCTATAGCGATTCTCTTTGGATCCCCTCCGTCATCCCCCCTCCCTTCTTCCATCTCTTGGTACTTTCCCCATCTTCTAAAGATCGCTCTCTCTGGATTGACTTTCTTGTACCCTCTCCTGTTGGGAGCCGCGGCCGACACCGGTCGCCTTACTTGGCGGACGTAGGGCCTGTGGGTGGGAGCGGAGCCTGAGCTAGATTGCCCCTCCCATCGAGTGAGCCAAGTTGGCGCCTGCTTCCTGCCCCCTGATTGCCCTGGCGACATAAGCAGCCCGCGCAATAGAATAGTCTGCCTAGCAACAACTGTTAGCCAATCAGCCCGCATCGCGCGCTTTGAACTGATTGGCCACTGTTACCCTATAAAAGTAAATGCCTCTCCCGCCACAAGAGAGAAGCACAGAGGAAGCACAGAGAGAGATAGAAAAAGTCCACCGGCGAGAAAGGGCTGGTGGCAGAGTGGAGGCCTCGCGGGGCCCACGCGGAGATAAATAAAGGCAAGGTTGCACACCGCCAGACTTTGTCGTGTGTCTTTCCTGCCGGCCGGGAGCGACCCCGACATTTGGTGACCCGCACGGGGACTGATCAACCCCGAGACACGGCGGTGGTGTGCAACGCTCCAGCGTGGTGCTGCCGGACAGGTGAGTTGGGGATAAGCCTGGGCTCTGGGTGGCGCGCACCTACAGGGCTTTTAGACTCCCCTCAGGCTCACGCGTAGGTGACGGGTTCTTTAAGTCACACGCGGTGAGTAACAGCCCTTAGAGGTTGAGGATGGGTAATTTACCGAGCGCGGAGGCGCGGCCCTTGGTAAAGGCCCTTAAGAAGCTTTTAAAAGCTAGAGACCTCAGGGTAGGTCAAAAAACACTGGAACTATTCATAACAGAGGTAGATAGGGTGGCTCCCTGGTTTTTACCCACGGGGCATTTAAACCTGCCGTCATGGGAGAAGTTAGGCGGGGACCTCGCTTCGGCGGAATTGGAAGGGGATATTTCGCCGGCTATTCGCCCCCTGTGGGAAATGATACATGCGTGCCTTGACTCCTATGCCGAGTTGCGCCGCGAATTGTGTGCGTGCGCCGCTCGAAAAAAGCAGAGAGAGGAAAAAGGGCCCCTGAGCGCTCTCTGGCGGGGAGGAGATAGAGAGCCATCCGCTCCGCCCTGGAGCTCTTCTCCAAAAGCGGCTCCCCGCCGAGAGGCCGCTACAGGGAACCCTCCCTTCTCTCAGCCGGCACAGGAAGTGACGCCCCGTTCCACTCTGTCGCGACCGCCATCCTATGACGTTGCGCCGCGGGGCGGACGGTATTTTCATGGGCGGCTACTCTGCCGAGCAGGCTGAGAAAAACGCCGGTCGAGGAAACGGGGGCTGGGGATTTAGCTCAGCGGCATAAGCGCCTGCCTTGTAAGCAGGCAATCGCGAGTTCGATCCCTGGCACCGATAAAAAAAAAAAAAAAAAAAAAAAAAAAAAACGAAAAAGACCAAAAATAAAAAAAAAATAAAAATAAAAAATAAAAAACAAAAAGGGGGAGTAAGCCAAGGCCTGCCTCCAAAGGCGCGGTTATCTATGGCATGACAATGGATGGGCCCGGATCCGGTGGTTAGCTGGAACCGAGGCGCGGTTTGTGTTTTTCCGCAGGAATCGGGACGAGAACCACTGTGGGTCCCAGAGAGGTTGACGCGACAAGTCCCTCGACTGAAGATCAGGCCTGTTCCACCAGGGGCCAACTGCAGACCCAACAACAAGATGAGCCCTAAAAGAACTGCAGGACAATCCCTTTTTGGGGGCCTGGAACGGCTTGCTCCCCTATGTGCTACCCTTGTTAGGCCCTCTATGCTCTTTGTTCTTGCTCCTGCTTATAGGACCATTCTTGCTCCGATGGGTTACATCATTTATTAATGGGCGCCTTGCGGCGGCCCGGCATCAAGTACGCCTGGTTGCCCATGCGGCCCTGGCAGCAGCCCGTGATGGGCACAATGACCCCCAGGCCTACGCATGGCTTGCTCGACTGGCCTACGACCGGGTCTAGGTGTGGCGGGTCTTCCGCACTCCTTCCCTATTGACACTACACAGCAGGGTAGATGAGTCAATGACGGGTAAGAGCGTGCCTCCCCAGCATGACTCGACCTAAGCCAGGCCCTACCCCATGGCGCACGAAAGCCGCTGGATTACTAGAATCTGCCCAGATCTAGATGCCTCTCCGAGGGGATCACACGGAGGGGCATGAGTGCATGCCTATGTGCATCCAGGTTCCGTCCAGTTCACTCCTGGCCCTGGAAAAAGGACAAGGGTCTCAAGGCCTTGGCGGACCCGGGGGCGGCCGACCAGGGTCCAAGCCAAGGGCCTACGGTGGGCCTCAACACAGGGCATAAGCCTCTGCACTCGATCCAGGGCGGGCTGCGATGCATACATTCATTCAAAGTAAATAAAATAGGGGGAGATGTTGGGAGCCGCGGCCGACACCGGTCGCCTTACTTGGCGGACGTAGGGCCTGTGGGTGGGAGCGGAGCCTGAGCTAGATTGCCCCTCCCATCGAGTGAGCCAAGTTGGCGCCTGCTTCCTGCCCCCTGATTGCCCTGGCGACGTAAGCAGCCCGCGCAATAGAATAGTCTGCCTAGCAACAACTGATGTTAGCCAATCAGCCCGCATCGCGCGCTTTGAACTGATTGGCCACTGTTACCCTATAAAAGTAAATGCCTCTCCGGCCACGAGGGAGAAGCACAGAGAGAAAGCACAGAGAGAGATAGAGAAAGTCCACCGGCGAGAAAGGGCTGGTGGCAGAGAGGAGGCCTCGCGGGGCCCACGCGGAGACAAATAAAGGCAAGGTTGCACACCGCCAGACTTTGTCGTGTGTCTTTCCTGCCGGCCGGGAGCGACCCCGACACTCTCCCAACCCCTACCCTCATCAACACTAAAGAAAAAAGCATCTCCTTTCCTTTATTTCTATGAGAATCTCCAAGCATCATCCTCACACTTCCTGCCAGCCACTGTCATGGGTCATTGTTGTAGCTTCCCCTTGTATAATTTCTCTTCTCTTCATGTATTCACATTAGACCAGAGGTTTTCACTTGGGGGTGTTGAAAGCTTAAAACAAAACAAAATACAAACAACTCTCTGGTCCCACCTCCAGGAAGTTGAGCTCAATTGGTCTGGGATGGAACCAAGAGTCATTCAACAATATTTATCGAGCACAGAAAGTGTAGTAGAAGGGGTGTAGGGGGACCCTTGAAGCATAGGAAAGACTGGAAGCCGGGACTTTGTCTTATTTGAATGTTTTAGATTTCTCAGAGTCAGGATTCTAGAAGTCACTGCATAATGATGCTGAATGAATGAATGAGTTATCCTTGGCCTTCTCGTGCTTAACGTACCTTTTTCTAGACTTCTGTCACTAGACCTTCAGTCCCAGGGTGACGATATGTCCAATCACCTAATGCAATGCCTGGCACTCAGTAGGTGCTTAATAAACAGTGCTTTAATGCCAAATCTATATTTAAAAATCATACTCTGTTTGTTATAGCAACGCGGGCTTCCGGAATATTATACTGATAACATCAGGGAATCCCTACAAATAAACACTCAGAGACAGGCATCCTCTGGCAGAGGGGCATTTCACAGGCTGATGCCTCCTGGGCACCGAGGAGGACCACCAGCCCCACGCAGCGCGGCGGTGCCCGCTCTGCGCAGACGGCCCTCCCCGCCCCCTCTGCCCGCGCACCTCCTCGGCCCCCGCCTCCTGCCCTCCGCCCACTCTCGCCGCGGTCTCCCGGCGGCGGCGGCTTTGTCTCGTGGGCTGCTCCCCGCGGCTCCCTCCCCGGAACGGCTGCCGGCCGAGGGAGGCCTGGGCGCGGAGCTGTCCGGCGCCCCGGTGCTGAAACCGCGAACCCTCGTCCTCCACCACCACCATGTAAGGCCATGAGAAGGGCTCGTCCTGGCGCAGCGCGGACATGGAGGAGGACTTATTCCAGCTCAGGCAGCTGCCGTGAGTACATGGGGGCGAGAGAGAGGCAGACAGGCTTTCTTTGAAGAAACGCAAAGCTGCAGGGGTGCATCTCTGCATGTGCAAAGCGAACTGTAATTGCAAAGGAAGGAATCAGGCCTGGAGCAGATGAGCCATTTTCCAACCCCGGCAACCCAGCTGCTCCAGCTCTGACTCAGTTCCATTTCTCAGATCGGTCGGGATCCCGCCGGGAGCCACGGGTATCATATTTTCCCTTTTAATTGCTCTCCATCCTAAAGGGAATTGTGAGGGCTGTGTGTGAAGGAAGCGTTAGCTGCTGGTTGGAAATGTGGACTGAATTAATAAGTCTGTGCGGTGAGCTGGGTCCTATCCAGCCCTTCCCTTGTGCTGTGAAATCCTCATTTTTCGGCAAGGTCTTTTGGAAATGAATGATGCGATGTTGCAAACTGGTTTCTAAAAAGCTGAGATTCCTTCCTAGAGGAGAAGCTCGGGCAAAGTCCTGTTGTTTATGGAGTGTGTGTGAGAGAGGCTTGTGCGCCGCCTAAACCTCTTGCCTTCTTCTGAATGAAAGGGTTTTCGAACATCTCCTGGAGTGACTCGCTGTTGGGAACATCAGGAACGATGCTCCTTTGAGGATAAGGATTTTTTAGGAATACCAGATTTGCTTCAGAAATCCTGGGAGAATACAATGGAATGAACAGGGGCCTTGCAGGGGGTTTACAGATTTTTTTTCTGTCATGAGCAGATGGTGATTTGTTAATTTCAGGAGTCTAAGAGGGGACATTTTTAAAAGTGCGTTTCTGATGGGTTTTGCTTTAATTTTTAGAATCACTAGCCATTTGGGTGGTAAAGTAGATTTTATTTGGGTTTGTTGGAAAGTATACTTTATTAACGAAAATGTGTAGCATGTGTGTATTTTCTTGACTTTAAAAATGGTATGTTTTGTTCTGTGAGCTCCTAAAGAATGCTCCCAAGTGACTTTTAGTGTGACTGATACAGATCTCTGAGGCTCTGAGTACAGAAGGGATTGTAACACTTCTCAATCAGTATGAAATTAATTTTATTTTAAAATTTACTTAATTTAGATTTTACTTTTAAGGTTTTATTAATTGATCCACAAATAGCATGATTTATGAATACAGTATTATTTCACAAATGCTGAAGGATGCCTAATTATAACAATCAGAGGCCGATGTATGACTAGATTAAAATGTAAATGAATGTGTGCAAATCTCTCAAAGAAAACATACCACTTTTTCCAGAAATAAATATGTTCAAAAACCAAACCGTTATTCTAAAATAAAAGTAGTTCAAAAATTGAATTATAAAATTTGGAACTGAGAATAAGAATGTTGTATGTATTGAAACTTTAGTTTTACTGATCTAAATTTTCAAACAATGTCAGAGCATATGAATTTTGTAAGAGATTTATGTATACTTAATCTAATATACAGGCATGCTGTATTATAACAATTCTTTCCTTAATTGAAAAAGAATAAAAATAGGGGGCTAACTCAGTGGTAGGGCAGAAAAAAATAATTAATTAAAAATTAATTTAGCTTTCAGCTTTCAGATGTAGCTCAGTGGGAAAGTACTTGGTTAGCAGGTGTGAGACCTTGGGTTCAATCCCCTAGCAAAAAAAGTAATTTAGAGCTAGGCATGGTGGCACACGCCTGTAATCCCAGCATTCTGGGAGGCCGAGGCAGGAGGATCAAAAACCTAGCCTGAGCTACACTGCAACTTAGCAAGACCTCATTTCAAAATTTAAAAAGATAAAAAGGCTGGGGTTGTAGCCTACTGTGAAGGCTCTAAGTTAAATCCCCAGGACCACAAAAAATTAATTTTAATATAAATATAATATAAATAAAATTAATATAGTAAATAAAACTCAGAGAGAGGCACAAGAATGGAACATGAGTCTTCCTTTTCCAAAACTCCAGTCTTAATACTCAGAGTTGTTTCTCAATTTTTCTTTCTGAGGTTTTATAGACTAAGTACGTATAATATCAGTGAGAGGTTAAACTGTGTACTGTTTGAGAACATTCGCTCTGAGTCAGACATATTTGGGTTCAAATCCTGACCCTCACAGCTGTGTTTCTTTAAGCAAACAAGCTAACCTTTCTGAGACACAGGGTTTCAGCTAGGAAATTAGTATCAGCTGGTGAAAGTGTGGTTCGGGGGCAAAGCATATGCAATGCCCAGCATCCCTACAAAAATGGTTTTATAATAGGACTTGATTGGTTATTGTGAAGAACAAATGAGACAATATGTGTGAAATATTTGGCAGGAATGAAATAACATATGTAAGTTATTATAGTATTACATTTAAAAATCATTTAGAAAAACAAAGTATGTGGGTACGCTATTGCTGGAGCTTATTATTTGAAAGCCCCAAGCTGCATTTGAATGAGGTGAAAATTAGCCCTGAAATGCATTGACCTCAATTTATTAAAAAGAAAAAAAAAGTAAGCTGAAAGACTAGGGAAACAGCCATATGAATCTGAGTGGGTTACAAAGCACGACTGGGATTTTTTTAAACCACACACCATCCCATATATTAAGCACAGATTGCAGATTTCCTGAGAACAATATGGTTTTGAAAAACCCTGAGCGCCTTGTAAAGGGTTGGCAAGAGTGGACTTTGGAGCAGACTCAGTACTGTGGGAGGCCAGGAGTTAATAGATTATAAGTGGTTTACAGGGTCGGGGAAGGAGGAAAGGATGTGAGGTGCCCAAGAACTCATTCCTTGCTTGCCCTTGAAGGCACCTTCACGTGGCTCTGGGTGGCTCATCTGAAATCACAACCCCTCTCCTTGCCTTATACCTGCTGCTCACCCATCTACAAGTAAACATTTTCTTTAGGTCTCTTCTAGGGTAATTTCTTTTGATCCAGGGCCAGAGATTGAACCCAGGGCCTTACATATGTTAGGCAAATGCTCAACCACTGAGCTGTATCCCTGACCCATGGAATGATTTCTTGAAACTAAGTTTTCCAGACAGCACTGAGGGATACACACATTGACTGATTCATTCACTGAGTCGATGGTTTAGTTGGATGCCAACTACACAAGGGATTCTTAACCTGAATGAGATCGGATAGTTCTTGCCTTTGAGGAGCTCACAGTGTAGGAGCTCCATCGTCCCACCTGGAAACCACTAGCTATATGTGGTTATTTAGATTTAAACTTAAATTATCTACTTTATATATGAAATAACTTATATGGTATAGCATATTTTATAAGTATGCAAAAAAATTTTAAATTGGTACTTGAGTAATTTCAAATGTCCACACTGCAAATGCTGGTCTGGGGATGCAGTTCAGTGGAACAGCACTTGCCTAGCATGCAAAAGTTCCATCCCCAATATCATAAAAACAAACAAAAAGCACATACCAACCACACTTCAGATGCCCGATAGGCTGCCATGCTGTGTGGGATGTCCAGAGGACTTCCATAGTGACCATAATTTCCCAAATTCCATTGGACATCACTCATCTAGTGGAAGAGGTACACATTGAGCACATCACCACACACGTAATTAAGGGATTATCTGAAGAACTATCAAGCACTCACACAGTACAAGGAGACTAGTTCTAGATGGGGAAGGGAAAAAGTGATAAAAGGTGGCCTCTGAGTTAGGCAGAGCTGGGTTCAAACTCTGGTTCTGTCTGGCCGCTGAGGTGGCTTTGGGCCAGTGGCTTTGTCTCGCAGAGACTGGATGTTCACCTACAAAGCTGGAGGTGTCATGGCACCGTGAGGCTGTGCTGTTCTAAGCATTGAGGAGCTGATCACTGGGACACTTTCAGTGCAGGGTCTGGCTCGAGGCAAAGGCTCAGTGAAGGGTGCTGGGGTTCCTGCACTCTGGTCCGCTCCCCTCATTTTCAACTTGCTCAGGTCCTAAAGCACCTGCAAGCTGTAGTCTCCTCTGTAGAGCACTAAGAAAGTGTCTGATTTGGTGAGAAGGCCAGGCCCCCACTTGAACTCTAACTCTCCCCCATTCTGCTCCTCTTTTGGCTTCTCCCATTGCAGATCACAGTCACCCCACCCATCTTATTTGAACTGAAAATTTCGGAGTCAGTGCAGACTTTTCTCCCTTCTGTATGTCACTTTCAAGGCATTCGGAAATCTTGTCGGTCCTGCCTCTAAGCTTCAACCAAGACTCCAAGCCCTTCTGTCCACCTCTGCTGTGACCCCAGCCTCAAGCCCCCATCCTCTCTCACCAGGATGGGTTGCGGGGGTCTCCAGGCTGGTCTCTTACTCTGGCTATTTCCCCACATCCCATCCCAGTGCAGCAGCCAAGGCTCTCCACTCAGAAGCTTTATATGGCTCCCGTGGGCTTCATCTCTTCCATTCTCTGCCCTTTTCATGCCTCTGCAGGCCACTCCAGTCTCCCGGCTGCTCCTCAAACCTGCCAGGTAGGCTCCAGCCTCAAAGGGTGTCATTCCCTCCACCCAGAAGGCTCTTCTGTAGGGTATTGGCTTCACCTTTGTCAGTGTCAAATGCCGCCTTCTCCCCCGAACTCACCCTAATTGTCTTCTTTAAAATTTCAGTCCTCTCCAGTTCTCTCTCTCTTTTTGTGACTCTGCTGTCTGTCTGTCTGTGTCTCAGTCTCTGTCTCTCTGTCTCTGTATCTCTGTATCTCGGTCTCTGTCTTTCTCTCTCTCATACACACACACACACACACACACACACACACACACACCCCAAACCAGAACATAACTTGTGTTAGGAAAGATATACAGACATTGGAATTCTATCTATCTATCTGTCTATCTCATTTTCCTTTGGTACCAGGGATCAAACTCATGACCTTGTGCTTCCCAGGCAGGCACTTGTGCTGTTGAGCTATATATCCGCAGCCCCCAAACACTGGAATTCTTGTACCCTGTTGGTGGGAGTAGATGGCAGTATGGGTGTTATGGAAAACAGTGTGACAGTTCCTCAAAGAATTAAAAATAGATTTCCATATGATCCAGAAATTCCATTTCTGGGTGCGTAATCAGCCCTTTATATCTGTTTTTCC